ATTATAAAATTTATACAAAGGAAGAACAACCTGCTCACAAGTAGAATTCAAATTTCTATCAGTAAAATCCCAGTACCTTATTTTCTTATCACATTGAAAGAACTAACACTAGGCTTTAAAGTTATTACAGCCAAGTACTTTTCTTCCATATTAATTTTAGTATTTCCAAATATAAGTTTGCCTCTAGTTCATTCCTTGCATTTCTGAAGGCCCTGGATGGTCAGGTGGTTAGGGAGCTCGACTAGCAATCTGTGGATTGCGGGTTTGAATCCCCATCACACTAAACATGCTCACCCTTTAAGCTGTGAGGGAGTTGTAATGTGATGGTCAATCCCACTATTCCTTAATAAAAGAGTAGCCCAAGAGTTGGCAGTGGGTGGTGATGACTAGCTGCCTTCCCTCTAGTCTTACACTGCTAAATTAGGGACAGCTAGCGGAGATAGCCCTTGTATAGCTTTGCACGAAATTCAAAAACAAACAAACAAACATTACTGGATATTAAATTTCAATAATAGTATTAAGAGTTTTTTGTTTTAAATAAATATGATTTCAATTGTCAGCCATGTCTACAATTTGTTTAGTGACATCCATATTTTTCAATATAATGAAGGATCTTTCACAATTCGTATTGTTAAGATTAAATAGATTGGACCAAAACTGAATCACTGCTGCTCAACCTCAAAAAACATTAAGTTACAATCACTCTTTTATTTATGTGAAACAAGTTGACAAACTGTTCATTAATGACCAGTAATTCCAGAAAAGCCTAGTAAGTTACGGACCAAGTTTTTGTAAAGATTTTTTGATAGTCCACGGTGCTACTTTCATCTACTTTTAAAAAAACAACAACTAATAAATTTAAAGTATAGAATTAATATTTAATCGTATCATTATTTGTTTAGCTAAATGAAGCAGGAGGATTGGAGTTTGATGCAACTGTGGGGAAACATTATGAATTTTCTGGTATACCTAGGTAAGTGTTACACTTTTAGGTATTTATAGAATAACTCTACAGAGTTTATGAAGTTTTACAAGGTACAGTAAGTTTCATTTTGCCACCTAATCTATATGTAAAGAGAATTGTGTGTAGAAAAGTGAGGAGAAACGAACAACTTTTCAAAACTTGATTGAAAATACTTTCTAATATTTTATGAGCTTCGAAAAGAAGGATAAAACTAGAGATGTTTTTAATTTTCATCAGAAACTTTAAATTTATCATTACTTTTTTGAAAAAACTAAATTGTTACTCTATGTTTAAACACAAAGGTGTTCCCAGCTTTTACAAAAAAAAAAGGGGGTTCTGAGCTGGTTAAGAAAACATTGGGAAGTTTAAAAAACGATAAGGCTCCTGGGCCAGATAATATTTCCCCAAGGGTTTTGAAGGAGGTTAAAGATTGGATATGTGAGCCACTTATTACTATTTTTTGTCAGTTCTTGAATAGTGGGCAGGTACCAAAGGATTGGAAGTTAGCTAATGTAACTCCTCGTTTCAACGGAGGTGATAAAAATTGTCCCAGTAATTATAAACCCATTAGTCTTATGTCAGTTGTGAGAAAAGTTTTGGAAAGTCTGTTATAAGATGCTTTGCAAAGTTATTTAACAAAGTTTAGAATTTTATTGGATAGTCAGCATGGTTTCACTAATGGAAAATCTTGCCTTACAAATCTTTTAACATTCTTTGAAAAGGTTACTGTTTATGTAGATAAGGGTAAGGGTGTAGATTTGGTATATCTGGATTGTCGGAAAGCAATTAACAAGGTGCCACATAAAAGGCTTGTAAAAAAATAGTTTCTATAGGTGTGAGAGATAAGTTAGCAAATTGGATAGAAGAGTGGCTGGAAGGAAGAAAGTGGAGAAATGGAGTTCAGTCAAACTGGATTAATGTCACGTGTGGGGTACCTCAGGGCTCAGTCTTAGGACCTTTGTTCTTTTTTGATTTACATCAATAACATAGATGAAGGAATAGT